AGCTACATTAGGGAATTAGAGATTTTAAGCATTTAAATCTTAAATCACTGAAGTTTTAGAGATCCTATAGCAGAGATGCAGGAAAAGTTGTCATCTTTTACACTGTTATCTAATTCTGCTGTATGAATAATAATTTCCCAATCTGACAGAGGAAATTTGTGTGCTTTTATTCAAGCTTAATCTTTATAGATACGAAGCCAGTATAGAAGATGAGCTGCTAGCTATAATGGTATTACAATTCGATTTAATATTAGAATATATGCCTCTAGTACCTGCTTTCTAAGCAATGATGAATTGCACTGGAAGAAACAATCTTTGCTTTATGCCTTCTGGCTAGTGATTTGGTTTATTGGGTTTTAAACCCTACAGCAGCCAGTATTTTTATCAGTGCTTTAAGTAGTCTTCTTGCATAAGCTCAGAAAATAAAAATCGCTTTCTGTATGAACCTTGCTGTAACATTTTCCACTGTTGTTTTTTTTCTTCCCATTCTGCTATATGCTCTTCTCCACTTTGTGCCCGAATGGCTTCAATTTTGGTCTTGAAGTCCATCCTTCTCCCATTTGTTTTAGCTGACTACTCATACTGTTCATATTCATACTTCATACTTCTTGTCAAGTAGCTCACAGCGCTGTGAACCACTTAACTGAAAGTCAGCCAGAAGTAGAAAACTGTTCTGAGTATTACAAACATTCATGTTGGATCTTAGTTGTTTTCTCTCTTTTCCACCCGGCAAGATCTCATGACCCCATAGGCACTGCAGCAAAACAGGAGAAGCTTTCAACAGGAAATCAATGTGGCTTGGCAGCTGGTGAAAGATCTTCCGCAGGGAGCTGTAGAGATGTGTGAAGGAGTTGGGCAATCCATCACCAGGAGCGTGATTTCCAAGTCATTGAAGGAGGAAATAAAGAAGAAAATAAAAATTGATGCAACACCATCACAGCAAGGAGAGGGGATGCAACCTTTAAATAGCAGTTTTTTTCCACTTCTCAGAAGCTTTGGGCATTGGCTTCTTACAGAAGTAGGACAAAAAGCTTGACAAGCCTGTAGACTGATCTTTTATGTCAGATCCTAAGGGCAGGGGGATGACACACTTGTTAGCACGCGACCCAGTTTAAACTAACAGGTTCTGAGAAACAAAGGCTCCCTGAGAGGTTAAGGAGAGGGAAAGCTGAACCAACTTGATATTGAGAGAAATATTCACCACAACTGAAGACATAAGTACCTGAGGAAGAAGAACAAATCTGCCGAGCCAAAAACCTTCCCTTGCTGTTGCACCACTGGTAATCCTGCTGGTAATGGGACAAAGCTGCTGCCACAGGAAAGCACATGAAAGTGAAACGTCCCAGGCAGTTCTTCTTTATGCCAGCAAGTTTCTGTGCTTGTCCCAGTCTGAAATTCTCAATCCTCCAAGGATTGTGTACATGTTCCTCCAAGGAACAGGGATAAGAAGCTACTAGTGCTCTGATGGTGCTTTGTGGACTGCTGTGCCAGGGACAAGGCTTATTTCCCCAGGATTATTGTTAATATGCTTTGAATAGGGGACATCCAGCCCATCCATGCTCCTTGTGGAGTTTTAACACCCTTTGTTTGTGAAAGGAAAAAATACCCATAGTCCCACCAGTTACCTCTGATCATGCCAGATGTGCCTCACAGCACAATCCTATCAGTCACTGTCTCTTCCCAGGCTGTAAAATGCTTTTCCATGGCATTTGGCTGATTAGGGAGCATGTACAGCAGTTCTTGATGCGTTGGGTCCTTGTCTTTGTTAGCCTCTCTCTCTTGCAAGAAGCTCCACAGCCCCTTTGTGGACCTGCCTGTGAATGCTGTGAAATTTAAGCAATCAACATTGCAAGCAGAGCAGAAGTGTTTGGTCTGTCCCTAAAGCTGGCCAGTCCTTCTATAGAGGCACTAGTGACCAGTGCAGAATGCTTTTGGACAGTGAAAAGACAACCAAAATACTGAGATTCTGGAAGAAAAGTAGTGCAAAAAATCTCAGTATGGAGAAGAGGCAATTATGGACATTGAGGGACTACTGCAGTGCTTTCCTGTGCTGCACATCATAAGATAGTGTTAGGTGGTGGAAAGTGGTAGAGAAGGTGTAATTGCACTTTGTTCACATGCCTAATGTTGGAAAGACTTCAGGCCCAACAGAGCATGGGGTGGGCACAAAGCTCTCCTCGGTGCTGCAAGCCAATGTAACTCAGACAGCTCTGCTCTGCTGTGCACGTTTCCTCCAGCCAAAGGCAAAGGCCTATGATGCAACAGATTTGGTTGTATTCCTATCCATTTTGTGCTGACATGAATGTAGCGAAAGAAGACCAGTGGAAAAAACAGATGTAAATGGGTATCCTGTCCAGTTCCTGGGGTGGAGGAAAGTATTGCCCCTGGGCAGGAAGGAGAAGGTCTTGCAGCTGAGCTCTGAAATTGTTTATTATAATCAATATTGTTGTCCAGTAAGCTAACTTTTAAGCCTGTTTTCACTGTTAAAATCTCCTAAAAGTTACTGATTCCCTGGGATGAGAGCTAGGATGGAGCTAAAGAACATGAAAGTGAAGAGCTGCCCAAAGGCAGCATGCAGTGACTAAAGCTAGACCAGCTTGGAGGGAAAGACTGGAACAACTTAGATGGAAGAGTTTAGATGAGAAAAATCCAGCCCCAGAGACATAACATGACTTATCAGAGTCCAGATGCACTTGGCACAGCCAGGTCTATTGGCACTGCAATTTTATCCAAGCAAAAAATACTGTCCTATGCAGAAGGCAGCTAAACCAAAACAATCTAGAACCACTTGCTACCCAAGGTAAAGAGGTCAGGACCATTGTGTTAAATTTTGGGTTGATGTTAGAAGCAGTCCTAACTCATACATCCTTCAGAGAGGCTGATGAAACCAGTCTTGGACTGGCTGGAGACAACCATGCCATCAGGCTTCCAAAAGAGAAGTGTACAATAAGAGATGAAGATAGTACTTCTCCACAGTAAGAGCAATTAGATTTGAATGAGACTGACTTGTCAAAACTCTTGTCATCTGACCTAGAGCTGAATAAGCAATTACATACAAGTTAATAAGCAAACCAAGCTACATAAAATAACCTAGCCCTCAGTGCAAAGTCAAGAAAACAGCTGGTGTCCTAGCAAATTACTACGTGGATCCAACAAGGTTCAGCTTGTTATGCCAAGTGCTGCAACCACCAGAATCATTGAAAGTGATAGAGTACTCATCTTCTTTTTCCTTGGATATTGGGGTTAGTTCTTGCCTGCTTTCAGTAGAGCACTGTGGGAAGCTGAGAAGTAAAAAGGCATAAAACTTGTTAATTCAAAAGACAGAAGAGAGATGTATGCTGATCCAGGTTGCCTTCAGGTGGGTAGGAACAGTTATTCCACATACCCCTGTAAAACAACCTGTACTGGATGAAATGCTGCAAGGTTCCTTGCAGACATTTCTTTATCAAAGGTGCTCGTTAAATAAGGACAAGCATAAATCATAGAAAGGGAAAGTGTGGCTCACATTGCTGAGAGGAAAGAGAAAGAGGCTATAAGAGTCCACAGTAAGCAAAGGATGAGACTGAAATTATTACAGACTGCATGAACCAAGACTAGTAAACAGATAAAAATAGAAGGATGAAAGTGCATATTGAATGCTACCCACAGAATCCTAAAGTACACCTATGAAGGGTCATTGTCGTAAGCAGGGATCTTATCAGTTTGGGGAAGAACATTTTAGAACTCCAAAAGAATCATTTTTGTCCCTTTGAAAGTAGGTGCCACTCCTGAATGGATCTGCCTGTGCTTTGCCATCAGGGAGTAATAATAGGAGGAGTTTTAGCAACGAGAGTAAAATAACATTGATTTCTTCCTGGATGAGGCAGAGCAGGTAATAAATCTTCAATAAACTGTGAATGAAGCAGCGTTTCAGATTTTTGCTTTGAAACAGAGTGCATATAGAAAAGAAATAGTTCCCCCTCCTAGCAATTAGGGGGATGCGATTGCCATCGATCATGGTGCAGGGATGGAGACTCCACAAAAGCCAGCCCCCCTCCTTCTCTGTCAGCAGATCCTTGCCGAGGTGGGGTGCCAGGGGGGTGGTGGTGGCTGTTTCAGCGCTTGACTCAGGAAGATAAACGCCATTTCCCCTGGCAGGATTCCCACAGAAAGTGATCAGCATAGGAGCTGGCCCCTGGGAGTGGCCCGGAGCACAAGTCTTATGAGGAACGCCTGAGAGAATAGTGAGTCTTTAAGCTGGAGAAGGACCTTATCACTCTCTACAACTACCTGAAAGGAGGAAGGAGAGAGGAGGTGGCTGATCTCTTCTCTCAAGTAACAGACGATAGGACAAGAGGAAACGGCCTCAAACTGTGCCAGGGGAGGTTTAAATTGGATATTAGGAACAATTCCTTCGCTGAGTATTCAGGCATTGGAACAGGCTGTGCAGGGCAGTGGTGGAATCGCCATCCCTGGAAGTGTTAAAAAGCCGTGTATATGAGGCCCTCAGTGACATGGTTTAGTGGCGGCTTTGGCAGTCCTAGGGTAAGGGCTGGACTTGATGATCTTGGTCTTTTCCAACATAGCTGATTCTATGATTTCCTTTCATATTCAGACAAAAGCCAACCTCCCCTACTCCCACCTGCGGGAGGCTGAGGAAGGAGGCAGTAAGCTTGAATCACATAACCCGAGAACTGTGCCAAAAGAACAAAACCACAACGTGCCGCAAAGCCTCCCGGAGCTCTCCCGCATCCCTCACACCCAAAGCGCAGATAAGGGCCGCGAACGTTCCGCTAAGGCCCCTGAGCGGGAGCAGGAGGAGACACCGCGACCGCCCGGGGTTTAAATACCCCGCGGGGGGCGGGCCGGCAGCGCGGCCCCGCCCGTTCCCCCCGCCCCGTTCAGCTGACAGCGGGGCCGCTCGCTGTCCGCCCGTCGCCGTCGGAGCTGCTGCTCGGTGCCCGCCAGCTGCGGCCTGCGCGCTCCCGCCGGGGATGGGGGGCGGCGCGCCGTGACCGGCCACCCGGGCGCGTCCCCGCCGCGCAGAGCCGCGCTGCCGCAGGGAGCCGCCGGCGGGATGAGCGGGAGCGGCGCCCCGGGGCCCGGCGCGGCTCCTTGCCGCTTCGCTCACTACTTCGTGCTGTGCGGCATCGACGCGGAGAGCGGGCTGGAGCCCGACGAGCTGGCAGGTGAGCAGCAGCGGCGGGGCCCGGCGCGGCGCGGAGGCCTCGCCCGCGCCCGGATCCGCACCGCTGCGGCTGGCCGCGGCCCGGCTGGCTTTTGGGATCCGTTGCCTCAAAATATCTGCGCCCCCCGCGGAGGGGCGAGGGGAGGAGGAGGGAGGAAGGGGGTCTCCAAGCCGGCAGGAGCCGCGGGGGGCAAGCAACTTTGAAGGATGAAACGCCCGCCGAGTGGCCGGGGGAGCATCCCCCGAAGGGCAGCGTTTGCCGGTCGGGCGGCCGCCGGGATGCGCCCTCCCCGCAGGCAGGGGCCCGCGACCCGCCGTTGGCCCTGGTCCCTAACGGTGGAAGGGGAAAGGGAGCTCCCAGCGGTGGCTTACGACGGGGGCAGAAGGGTACCCGGGGTTACGGGATTGAAAGGAGCCGAGTGACCGAGGTTTCTGTTGGAGCAGATGGATAGTCTTCCCTATTTGCGCTGGAAAAAAGGGGAAAATAGGATGTGCGATCTGGGAAGAACTGAATAAAATAAGAGAATCACGTCTTTAATTATGTTCCTTTATTCACATCTTATGTCCTTTCAGAAAATAGTCTTCCTGCATCCTTCCTTCTTCCTCCACCCCTGAAAATGTTACAGAATCTAAGAACAAAATTATTACTATGGGATCTAACACATTAGCCAAAATGTTTATTTTTGGAGGGTTCATGACTGGATGTGAGCTGGTTATGTTGGCATAAGGCAGTATTTCTTCCTAAATGTCACTTTTGTTTATATAAAAGGAACTGTTTAAGTCGTGATTTTACATAGAGAACTAGATTGCCTGTAAGCTTAGTAACGAGGCTTAATGCATGGGAGCTGAACGTTTCCTCCTTGAGTTAGGAGTCTGAAAGCGCGTAAATGCTTACAGTTTGCCATTCCTATGCACTCGCACTGCAGGCAAATGGGTGAATGTGGCCGAAGCTGAAAGCAGCGTTGCTGTCACGGTGAGCGTCTCTGGGGGTGAGATCACGGCAGGGTCTCTGCTGCTGTTGCGTCAGGAAACACCTTGCCTCCTGATTGTGTGAGAGAAAGACTTGATGATCTGTTATCACTGATCAGTGTACCCTGGCTGAAGTTCATATGTTTGTCACCTGTAAAAGAGCACACACTAGAGGTAGCCCACAGATCTCCAAGTTGAAGCATTAGCCAAACGTGCTTTAGTCTCTGCTTTTACACATGTATTAGTGACTGCAATTGTATGTTTTCAGTTTTGCTGCTTTTAGTAGGAAACTCCTGCCTCGTGAGCCATCTCTCAGCTGATGGCATACAGTGTTTGGTTTGCATAATATGACCTTGTGGGATTTTAGCTACTTAAACTTTGAGTCATCTTGAACTCTTCTATCTGAAAATAAACTATTTTTAAAGTAGTGCTGGCTGGCAGGCTGTGCCTTCCCTCGTGAGTACCCAGACTTTCAAACTTGGCTTTTGCTATTTCCAAGCAAGATGTGCTGGTGTGTTCTTGGGGAGTGCTCCTCAAGGACAGCCAGAATGTGGTGGGCTCCTGCTTGGATGCAGGACTCATCTTTTGTGGTCATTCAGTAGGTTTAGCTGAACTGCTCTAGCAACACTAAAAAGATTTCAAAGATAAAAGAAGTCTCCCTCTTCGTTTTACATTAAAGGAAAGACATTTTGGCACATCTGGGATACTCCTATTTATCAAATAGAACACAACTGTGAATAATTTCAAAGAGAAATTACCAGAAGTAGTTCTTTTGGAAGAAAGTGGGGTTCTTTTTATTCTTTCCTCCTCTATAAAGCAGAAATGTCTTTAACTGGTTTAAAACAGGCAAGGTCCAGCAGTATGGCTTGAGCACACAATAACTGTTGATAGTGCAAATTTGGGAGGCACTCTCAGTACCTAGGAGGGTTGTGATATGATAGAGGAAGAAGTGGAATAACAGAAATATGATGGGACTTAATATTGCCACTGAGCAATGTTATATTTTTAGGGACTCATGACAAGAGTTTTCTGGTATCAGCTGGGAGCACAGCAGTTGGAAATGTTAGAGAGGAACAGGGAGTGCTGTGAGCCACAAATATAATGCAGCAATGGAAAAATTAACTCTGGTTTTAGATGTAGCTGAGGGGAGTATTAATGCCACTGTAGGCAGGCAGTAGTGAGATCCCTTCTAGAAATCTGTGTTACAGGTTTCAAAACCCAAGTTACTACAATTGAGTTCATTACCAGAATAGGTGGGGAGGAAGATGCTTGAGGAACCAGAAGGTCTATTGTATCACAGGAAACATGGAAATTAAGGCTATTTCTTTCTAAAAGTGCTCTTACAATGTTTTGCAGAAAGAAATCATCCTGTTCTTTCAGTATTAAGTTATGTAGCTGTGACAGCTTTACATTGTGCTCTCCTTGTGCTTAAAGAATTTGTCGAATGCAGAGTTGCTGTGACTTAAGCCATTGCACAGATCATACCCGATTTAGCAAAAAAGTAATCAAGAACCTGCTTACCTCCACGTGTGTGAATCCCTTAGCAGCTGGCATACACACAGTGCCTTGCTTAAGCTGGGTCTGACCTAATGGAGCTGTGCCAGGGCTGAGCAGAGGAGCATGAGAAGAACTCTTCTGCAGGGCCTCTCCTGTGAACAGAGAAGCACAAGTTACAATATCCTCGAGGGATTTTCAGCTTCCAGATGGACTCCCTGGTGATGAGCTGAGGCACAGGCACCTCGCTGGGGTGCGTGGCGTGCTAAGGAGCTGCCAGTGAGTCAGCTGTGATGTCATCTGGAGCTCCCTGACCTGAGCCCTCCCTACGCTGGGAACAGTGCAGGAGCCACCCGTTGTGAAGGCTTTCCATGCCTGATGGCTTAAACACAAAACCTCTTTCCATGCAAACCCTCTGCAGTAAAAACAAAACCAAACAAACCCACAGCAAAAAAAGTCATCTACAGCGTCAGGCATGAAGGGAACTGTTTCAGTGATGCTCTTGGAGGCAGGGTGAAGAACTGCGTTTTTAATACTTATTGTAGAGATGTTAGGTTTATTTACAAACTGAAATAAAACCAAGGTTTTGAAGTTGCATTAGGTCTTGACGTGCCTTCAGGGAAGAGTGACTTGCTTTATATATAGTTCCTTGTTCCTGTGGATGCTCAGCACTTAAAATAAATTGGGTAGATGAGGATTTTCCACCATTAGTTTTTAATAGGAAATTGCTCCACAATTGCTCCACAATTGCTTCTCAAATGGGTTCATTTTGGGTTTTAAAATTAATTAGTTTTGAAAAGTAAAAAGCTATTTACCTAACTGTTCAACTTGGTAGGGCATGCAACCATTCAGCAAAGTAGTGTATGGACTGTAATACTGTAAAAATACTTGTGGAACCATCAAAAAGCTGTCAGTTAAGGATGGAAGAAATAAGTCTCTCTAGGGACGTAGTTTCCTTTCCTCTCTCATGTAAGCACTTAATAGTTAGAGAGGTCAGTAAAGAAAAATGAGGGTTTTGATGTGAAGTATCTTGAAAAGCATGAAAATCTCAGTATTGGGTTTTATGCCCTGTTGAACTCCACTAACATAGGATGAAGGGAGCTTTTCTCTCATATTCAGGGCTGATGGAAAATACGTTTCAGTTCACTTTCAGCTTTATGCCTACTTCTTCCAGGTAAAGCCATTTTGAGACTGTATCAGTCTTGGAATTGCATCAGCTTAAATGAACTCGTTATAGTAGATATGTAACATTGCCTTAAACAAAAAAGACTTAATTGTTCATTAAATTGTTTCTATTAAATATTTTTTCATACTATATGAACTTTATCAGTGTATGTGCAAGGCATGAGATTTTTCTGGCTGTAGTGGATTTTACATTTTGGTTTGAGAGCATGTTAAATTTTATAGTTTCTTGCTACAGAGTGCCACAAACTACAATTTAGCAAAATCCAGAATATATATGACTCAATTAAGAAGAAAATTAAGTATCTTTTATTGGGGAAATAATTTAGTGCTCTGGAGGAAAGTAGAGGGAGAATTAGGGATGGGAGTTCTGTTCCCAAGTGGAAGGTCTGTTCTGTGCTCCATTGAGGATGCTGTTGCTGGAGTGGTTTGGAAGGAGAGAGAATTCGTGTTTGGAAGGAGAGAGAAGAGCTGGCATGTGAACTGCGGCCTGAAGGACCATGTTGGATGGTGCCTTCTGCATCTCAGAACTTGCATGTTGGTTGAGTTGTGGCAGCTCTCTTGCTGTGTGAAATGAAAAGGTTTATAGCCGATTTTTTGACTCTCTTTACAGTGACGCGACATTCCATTATCTTGTCTGGTAACATATTTTGTATTGTCTAGTTTTAACCATTGCATAATATAATAACAAGTTCCCCTATCTTACTGTCCTGGTTCAATGTATTCTTTAAAACTGTAGAGAGCTTCATTACTCTACTTTTAAGATCAAATTTATTTTTTCTTTTATTTCTATTCCTTTATGATGAGCAAACCCGAGAGTGATTACTGGCCATGCTCATTGGAAATGCTGAGTGTCTTGGGGAAAATAAACACTATTCCTGCCTCATGCTGTTTCCCCGCCAATATGCAGGTATTGGGTATTAATTTTCCCCCAGTGAAACATAACTTCAATTCATAGTGTTGAAAGCCAAACAGGGCATGCTGCAGTCTGGCTAACTGTGCCTCTTATCTAGAAGGCTCTTATTTTTAGAAAGCTGAAAGACTTTTTTTGTCCTTATGTGCTCTTGGCACCTGTGTGCTCGTGCCTTGCAGAGTCTCCCCGCAGCCTGTGCACTTCTCCATTGCGCTTCCTTCGTGCCGAGTCACCCTGCAGTGCCTGGTGGCATTACTACAGAGATACAACTTCTTGTGTAGGTGGCTTTTCTGAAAACAAGTGATTGGGTTTTTCCCTAGTTAACTGGAAATAGACTGAGAAATGTCCCTTGACGAAGGAATTTCTAAGCAGTTGCGGTTCCTATTCATAACTTAGTTGTTGTAAATGAAAAGTGACTACAGTTTTGCTTTTCATTTTTTAAG